CTGTTGGGCCACTAGGAGCTATGAATAGGCCAACTAGTAGTTTAAAAAAATGGTAGTCACGGCAGGGCAGTCAAACCCTTGTCCCTTTGCACATGCATGGGATATCAAAGCAAAAACACTAGGGACAAAGTTTCAACTGTACTGCTATGACTACCATCTTGACTTTTTTGACCCCCCTAGATGCTGCTAAGATCAGCAACCAGAAGTATGCTCAACATGGGTGTCCAGAGGGGGCACATGGAGGCAAGTGATATCACATACATCTTGATATCAACTTGACATCATCCTGCAAATGATGAAAATTATGCAACTTGCAGGATATGACACATGTGATATTGTGGCTTCCACCAGATGCCTATGGTATCCATTCTTAATTTTCTCATTCTTAATCATTCACAGCTTGAACATTTAATTTCTCAATTTTGCAATGTAGTTTACAATTAGAAAATAATAAACTGTCATTTTAAAGAAATGTATGCCCTAGAATATTGGGTAAATTAGTCACAAAAATATGCAAGGCCCTGAAAAATGCATTATTATAGGAAAATGCACAAAAATTATGCAAACAGTGTAGTGTGGTTTCCAAAAAAAAAAAAAAAAGCCAACTTACAGAAAAACAGAATGCAACAAACTTAAAAGTGGAAAAATGAAAGAAATCAATATGACAGATTTGCCTATCCTTCACCAGAAATCTATACAAGAACTTTGATGAACAGTTATTCTTTACTTGACACAAATTAGGAATAATGTGTCTAATTTATATTTGGTGTATCAAAATAAGTCCAAACACTGCTAGTATTGAGGAGGTAGGGAATGTATATCAGTTGCATAACATAATAAGAGACTTGGCAGAAAATTTAACATCTAATTTTTATTGAACTGATATGTTAGCTTTATTTACTTTAAATTACCCATAATTTAAATTAGGTATTTTCTGTTGATAACAGATTGATTATGATCTGTTGAGTATAATTAAATGTTGAAATGTTAATTGAATTCTAAGTCTTAGCAATCTTGTAACTGTATCAGAATAGCCCCTGGTTTTTACTTGGCAAGTAGAATTAATTGAGAAAAAAGGAAGCCCGCAGTAACCTTTTCATCGTACTTAAATCTATTTTGAGAACTAAGATGTTTAACACTATAAATGGATTTTAGACTGGACTTCCAAAATACACCTGCTAATTTGTAAATCCTCAGGATAAGCAAGGATAAACCATTTATTTGCATTTATTTTTAGAGAACCACGGATATGTACTAGTTCTGTGGAAGGACATATTCAATTTTGGTTTGAATTACAAAAATATGGAATATGCTAAATCCAGGTCAGAGCTAATTATAGATCTAAGAAAAAAGAAACCAATGGATAAACTAGAATTTTGATCTTTCTTTGTGCAGAATATTGAAACCATCATAACAATCCACAAATAACACATCAAATTATTTCATCTATATAACATCTTCCTCTTATTTGGGGAAGAGGGAAAATAGATAAAAAGTAAGTTCTATCAAATGTGTTAGGTCAGATACAATTTGTGATAGGCTTACCGTTGTAATGGAGACCGTGACATATAAAGTAGGGAAATATAATCAACCTGCCACTGGGTTTTTGGGGAGCTCATTGGTTTTTCATTCCTAGAATATCCACATGGTAGCAATATCTCATATTTGTCTGGTCATTCTAGAGAGTATTGCAAAAAAGACAATTCTAAGAGAGCCCTGTGCTGCTGTCAGCATATGCAGCATTTTTGTTATTAAATGAAAAGAAAAATCCAAGACCCTAACCCCATTGTAAATTTTCAGCACTAAACATTATCTCCCTTTGCCCCTAAATGGACTGGTAAATCTATGTCTGGATTTTTAATTAAAGGTTCAGAGGCAAAATTGCTGAACTGAAACTCTGCCCCATAAAGCAGGTAATGAAACAGATTGTACTGATCCACACATCTCTAATTCTGAAGCATGTCAGATAAGGAAGTCTTGGTGCAGATATAACGCATATTGTGACAAAAGCTAACATCACCTTGGTTATCTCAACCCCATTGCCTCCTTCCTTCCTTCCTTCCTTCCTTCCTTCCTTCCTTCCTTCCTTCCTTCCTTCC